TCTGGTTGAATCAATAGTCCTTTTTCTTGTCAATGTTTTCAAGAGTCTGGACTCTAGATCCAATGTGTTTTTTTTTTCCAGTGTTGGAAAAAACGTGATTTTAAACAATTTCTTAGGCAGAGTGCCTACTAAAACAGGCTGGTCAAAAATAAGTACTTTTGCAGTACCTTATCAGTACATTCTCGAGATATTCAGTACCTCCTCCGACAGAAAAATTCCGTTTTCTTTCAGTGCCTACATTTGACGAAATTAGAAAAATTTCAAAAATTTGAAATTGCGACAAAAAATTTAACAAAATTCTGGACCTTTTTGCGGAATTTCCGCACTTTTTCAGTACTTCCGGGCCGCCCTTAAAAAATCAGTGCTATTTCCGGACTTGAAATTCCCGGAATTTCCGGCTATTTTCGGAATTTCGAGGTTTTTCCTCGGTTTGGCCGATTATGTGAATCAAATTTAACAATTTTTCGTTCAAATAAGAGTATTTTAACCTGAATCTGGACGATTTTCAGTGTTTTTTCCTGGAACTTCGGAAAAATCGGAATTTTTCTAAAACCCGGCATCTTTTGTAAAATAAAATGGCGGCACTGCAAGACAAGGACAGAAAAACATACCCCGTCGTGGTAACGCTTCAGAGACAGAGGGAGACAAGGAAGCTGCAACAGGACCAAAAAGTAATTTCCCGGATCCGTTGCGAGCGGGGTTAAAAGTGATCCGTCAAGTGTCCGAGACCGAGAAAATGAGAATCTTTTTTCCCACGCTGCCCTAGTCCTGGACTCCTGGCTGATGGTTCAAACAGTTCACAGGGCACGTGCGAACTGGTGATCAAAGAGTGGAGTCCATCAAAGTTTCCTCGTCGTCATAGTAGCACGCCGATCGACGCAACTTTTTCGGCAAGAACTTAATTGGAACTAGATCCCATCGGGGATGCAACACATTTTTCGTGGCAAAAATTCGGTAATCCAGAATGGAGATGTTCCATGTGTGAGGAATTTGCCATTTGACTGTTGATTCTTGTGTAAAAGTTCGCGAGAAACACGATGGTGCCACTGGTTTTCTCTGAAATCAACTCCCAAGCTCAAAAAAAGCTCTCAAGTTGATGCCAAAATGAAGGGGATATCCCACGCTATCTGAGAGTCCACCTCTGCATCAAGACAAACTCTCCATGCAAAGATAGGGAGCAAATACATTGACAGGGCTGCCACTTTATTTGGAGACTCCACAACTGAGGACACGGCAACCCTGTTAATGTATTTGCTCCCTATCTTTGCATGGAGAGTTTGTCTTGATGTAGAGGTGGACTCTCAGGATAGCGTGGGATATCCCCTCCATTTTGGCCTCAACTTGAGAGCTTTTTTTGAGCTTGGGAGTTGATTTCAGAAAAGAACCAGTGGCACCATCGTATTTCTCGCGAACTTTTACATGAGAATCAATAGTCAAATCGCAAATTCCTCACACATGCAATATTTCCATTGCGCGAAAGGTACAGGAAAATATGTAAGGATTGCGCGAATAGAAACCTTAACATTTGATACAGGAACGCGCGAATTTAAAATGAAGTTAATATAAGGTAGACTTTTTGGCAAAACAGGAAGCAGTTGGAAAAAGAACGCAACTTTATGTTAACGCTAGTTTAAGTTAGTTTGTTCACAAGTCATCGATGTCCTACCTTCTGATGATAAATGAAGTGAAAAGATCGAATAATGGACGTGTGTACAATGAACTCTCCTAACTTTTCTCAGAAAAAATATTTCATCGGGAGAAACGAGGCGAGTTCGAATAATAGCGCCAAAGACAGTGCAGCCGGCGTAAAACGTATATTAGCGCCTACAAGACTGTAAGGATACTTCACGCATTGCGCCGAAAACAACGGTCAGCGTAAAGCCCATATTAGCGCCTACCAGACTGCATGAATACTTCTCGCATTGCGCCAAACGCAGTGCCGGTAGGTATTATGGAACACAGATCCTATTGTCAATTTTTACCGGGATCTCAAAAGAATCTCCACTGCTTCCTGTTGCAAAACACACTCTAAAAGATCCTTAAAATTTTGAGTGCTCAACGGTTGGTTAGGTACTACTTTGACCAGTGACAACTCTCATCACTCTCTTTCCACCGATCGTATCGAGTGGTCTGATTTAAAGCTTTGAATGCAAAAACGACGGACATCCCATTAAAAATGCATTGCATATCCGTCGTTTTCAATCACGGCCTCATTTGCGCGTCTAATTGACTATTTATGACTCGAGCGCGCGCGCTAATTTGTTACTCCGCGAGTCGCGCACCACGGCTCTTCAATATCTTATCGGGCGCAGCAATTCGAGAGGCTGTAATTACAAACATTTTATCTCGGTTCCAGGGAATCGGCGATTTAGCGCTAACCCCCGCACCCTCCACGTCACTACCGATAATGAAACTAAGAAGTCACGTATTTCGACGTACGATGTTGTTTTCTGCCGTGCTGAGGAAAAACGCCGTCATTCAGGGTGTCTACAGGTTTTTGAAAACCGATTTCAGAACTTTTTCAGGACCCTCGGAGTTATTTGCCAAGTCAGGGTCTACACTTACTGCTAATTTTAATGGAAATCGAGTCCATCTTTATAAAAATTGCTGATGACTAAAAAAATCTATGATATGTATGTAAAATCGGGTTTTTTCTACGTAACAACTACACTTTGACTAGCGAAAACCGTGAATTTTTAAATTTTTCGGGACCTCGAGCTAAATTTCCCGACTTATTCGTGACTTCGGGAGCGGTCAAGCAAATTCTGGACTTTTTCAGGACTTTCGGTACTTACCTGTAGACACCCTGTATGAACATTCGAGAGTAGCCAAATATCCTCCGGTAAAATGATTATTTTTGAGGAAAGCTATGAATGTTCTTCCTTGAGAGTTTCAAGAACTTTAGATAAAATTATGAGAAAAATTACCAGACAAATTAGAAGAAAAATGTTCATAAATTCACCAGGAAATTCGAGTTTTATCAATGGAAATTTGGCAACGCCTGAAGGTTCGGCAGTATAATCCCTTGTACTTGCTTGCTCAGCAAGCCTTGCATCACGATCAGAGATGCTAAATGAAAGTATTTATGCTGAAGGGAACTGCGTACGTACAAATTAGTTAGGGGCCGTCCATAAATTACATGACGCACTTTCTTCGGAATTTTTGACCCCTCCCTCCTACCGCCACTTGTAACGCTTTTGTGCCGTAGGTAAGTATTTATAAACAAGTAAAACAAAAAGGCGTAACGCTCTCCAAGACCTCCCCTCCCCCCATAGCGCGTTACTTCCTTTATAGACGGTCCCTTGCGTAAATTAAAAGGAACTATAAACAACCTATTTGATTTCTCTTTATTTAATGACTTAGTATGTAGTTCCTTTTGGCATGGGCACTCATGCGCAAATGAGATTTGATGATATTCCTTTTATTCGAAAAAGTTTTATAAGATTATCAGAGGTCAAGTGAACGGATTTAATCGGAAGGAGGCTAACTGCATTAACGTTGCCTAATTTCCTTGCATATGTTAGTTTTTCAACGGAAAAATAAAAATCATTTTGACTTGGAATTCTGTGAGTAAGTACTTTGAAATCCAAGGAAATTGTGCAGAAAGTTTCAAGGCATTATGCAAGTTACTTTTCTGTTAAAAGTATAAAGTATGATCGTGAACCTGATCAGTGTTCGAAACGAACTTTTGAGTTTTAGAACTGGGGAAAGAAAAGTAGAGACAAATGTCACATCCAAAAATTGCACCATTCAATAGATATTTACATGCTAACCAATGGGCCAACTGATGATTGATGCATCCAGACTGATGTGACTTTTGTCTCTTCTTTTCTTTCCCCAGTTCTAAGAGCAATATGGCACATCAAGCTCGATTTTCAGGGGCCATAGAAGAATTTTTAGGGGCCAAATTGACTTCTTACCTATAATATCACGGCATTATAGTGAAAAGTTAGGCGTAAGATTTTTTTTTGTTTCAGAACTGGTATCTGTAACTTGGGGGAAATTTCGAAAAATCACCCAACAGAAGAATTAGGTTTTTTCTTTGGCCATTTTTATAGGCTACGTTGGTGCAGAACCTTCATTCCCTTAGGCGCTATAACCGATTTCTTAGGTGCATTTTGGCGCAAAGGCGCCTGTGGGTTTCGAACATTCAACCTGATAAAACCTGAGATGCAGTCAAGTAAGCGGATTCAAGTCATTTTCCACAAGAATATTGGGACAGTCATTAAAGTCAGTATTTCATGACAGGACAAAAGCTATGATTTTCCTTCATTTTCGAGTAATACTGCATTGGAATTTGAATAGTTGCCGTTGAATAGTTGAATAATTTCCACATTTAATGATTCAAACATAACACCGTGTTCATGAGTAGCAGTAATTTGAGACGAGCAAGAAGCTAAAAATTGTGATCAACACAGATAGGCATTACTTAGGGAATTCAGCTAGTGTACATGGACTTAAGGGGCAAAATGAGTTTTACTGATCATTGGTTTCGGAAAAAATTAGGAGACTGGAGAACTATTACTTAGAACTGGTGAGGGAAAAGAATGGCCAAATGTCATAACAACCTAAATGCATCATTCATCAGTTGTCCCATTACTTACCATATGAATTAATGTTGAATGGTGCCCTATTGTAATGTGACACTTGTCCATTCCTCTCTCTCCGCAGTCCTAGCATATGATTACTTACGTTGGTGGTACCAGAATTGATACCGCCTTATGGCTGCTATAGAAGCAATAAGGAAAGAGAGCAGTACGGTTATCAGGGAAGCGTTAAATCTCCATCGGTACCTAACAGGGAACTGGATGACACCCTCTAGATGCATATTCATCGCAAGGTGCACATACAAAGTTCTGGAAGAAACAGTGCTGATGACGAAACTGCAAAATAAGTTTGGCTAACCTACGATGTTCAAGGCGTGATAACAAGGGAGATTATGAGGCCGAGGATCTGATAGATGAATACTTAGGTTGAAACGTGGCTGAGCAGGTACTTACGGTGTAGTAGGAGAGGAGCCCAGCGTTATCGTCCAAAACAAACCAACGAAATTGCCAACCTTTCATTACATTAGTCCATTTACTCAATGATCCTTCCATAGTCGCCATGTTATCACTGACAAATCACTGGCCGATGTTTACGAAATAACTCGTCAAAATCTGAGGGGTACGGAATCTACACGAAGTCACTACGAACTGATTTATCACCGCCAATCATCGGAATAAGATGAGAAAACGAGATAGCACACATCTTGCTAATTATCGAAACTCATACTGCACCTCACTGTACACGCGCGAGATGAGAGGAACGGCGCTGTTTTTCGCGAGGACTGACGGATAGAAACACTCTTTTATTCACCGCGACGCACGGGCATTTATCGTTTATCACATGTCCCGAAGCACGGCACAAATCCCGGGGATATTTCAGGAAGTAGCTTATCAAACTCGAACAAAATATGAAACTCCTGCGTCTTCGAAATTCGTGACCGATTTTTCGCAATTAGGGCATAGACTGACCGTTGAGCGAGAGGACACATCGAAGTAAGCAAAATGTATGCTGTGCTGGTGCTGCGCTCTGAACCAGTTCGGTAGAAACTTTGAAGGAATAATGTCATAACAGCCAAACTCGACTAATTGCGTTAAAATTTTACCGAAAACAATTCAATTTGATACATTCTGTTGTAGAATTTTGAATATTTTCAACGCATTACTAAAATTTTCATCCTATAAGGGAATTTTAACAAAATCACAATGCTATACTGTGTAGTGCTTGAAGCATATCCTTCTCGTTGGTAAAGCGCGTGCGCATTGCTGATAGGGTGACCACTCTGGCATAAGTTTCCTTCTATGAACCGGAATCGTTTTGCAACGTGAGGTTAGAGTGGTCTTTATCTGTTGTTTTTTTTTATAAATTTTGATTATTTATCGTGCTATGTCAATGATTCCACCCGTTTCACCAATTTTAAATTGCTGATTTTGAAGTGTGACTAGTGATACCCCAACCATGGCAGCAGTACAAACACCGTTGGAAAACGCATCCAACTTCAATGGACCCCAGCCTCAACCGCTACCTCAACCGCAGCCCATGCAACCGGAGGCTCCACCAGCTCAGTTGCCCGTTATCGGCATTATTTATCCTCCTCCGGAGGTCAGAAGTATCCTTTTGAATACTTAAATCACAAATTTTTTTTAGTAATAGTTCTCAGTAGCGTAAGTACCTTAAGGCATCATGCGGTGGTTGGCCATGCACCAACCTGGTAAGAAGGCTACTCTCCCTAGTTGATTGTTTTTACCTCGAAAATGAACGGCTTGGGAGATGAGGTGTGTTGTCAAAGGAAGCTGGTAGGAATTAGAACCACCCACTGCCAATCAGTTAGTGTTAGACTCTGACTTGAGGGTATTCGTCAAGCTGAAATGACGTGGTAGAACTGGCATGCGATATATTGCATCGATTAGGTCAAAAATCTCAGCAGACGTTGAATTTTAGCTAATGAAAGACGATATCACCTGTGCATCAGCCTTAAGAATCATTCTCAACCCAAATATCGGCAAAATTTAATGAAATGAAAGCAGAATAGTGTTAGGGTAAAAACCTCGCATTCGGTCCAGTTATCAATTTACGTATCGAAGGTGAGGTTTTTTTCCCTAACACTATTCTGCTTTCATTTCTCTGAATTTTGCCAATTTTTGGGTTTTTAATCATTCTTTAGGCTAAGGCGTAGGGGCTATCATCCTTTTTTTGCGGAAAATTGAACCCTTTCCGGTCCGCGGCAGTTTTCCACGGCCGCCGTGGCAGGTCCGCGTCTTTTTCCAATGTTGTCAACAAAGACAGTGGTTTCCAAAGGGTCCACCAGAGGCCGCCACTTGCTGGAGCAGTCTAAATACCCGATATCGGGCCTGCGCAGCAGTTCAAACTTTTGGGCGACTATATTCAACATCGGACCTAAACGCATTATTCTTCACGGCAAATATACCCGACATTGAACCGGAAAGGGTTAAAATCTGCCGAGATTTTTTATCTTATTTATGCGATATGCCAGTTCGACTACGTCTCTTGAGCTTGACTAATCATCTGATGACTTTCGTGTTTTGTGTTAATGTCGAATTCAGGAAACAGAAGAACCAAACTGATAAGTTTACTTTGACAGCACACCTTTTAATGAACCTTTCTATTTATATCCCTCCGTACCATTGTTGGTCGGAGGGTAGAGTCCACATCAAACAAGTTTGCATACTTGTACTTAGACCGCGATGAAAATTCCATCATCTTGATTCTTCCATTCATTTCCAGTGCTAAACTGATGTCAGACAATCTTCTGTGGCCTATAATATTCCTACAACAACAGAACATTACTTTTCATTCTAGGTGTTAGAATGAAAATCAAAATAAAATTAATATCCATCGCTTGTTTTTATAGTCGTTTCCTTAGTTTCGTTTTTCCAGACATCGTCGACAAGACTGCAGGTTTCGTAGCAAGCTACGGACCCGAGTTTGAATCCAGAATTCGAGAAAATAAGCTTGGGAATCCGAAGTTCAATTTTCTTAGTCCTGGAGATCCGTACAATGCTTACTATCAGCACAAAGTCAAAGAGTTTCGAGAAGCCCAAGGTTTGTAAGATGTTTTCAGTCTATTCCTTGTCATACCATCATTCATTGAGTCTTTTTAACTGTTCACAAAAAATGACCTCCGCACCAAGAAATTCTTAACTAAGACATTGACCCCACCACCTACAAAACCACCATTCGCCTCATAATATGAGTATACTCGTCAGCGCACGCCCGGGACGTATCTCAGCTGACGAATTAACTCAGGCCATCTATCGACTTTGAGACGCTTGAGATGCCATCTATTGGAAAAGCAAAAAAACTCGACCAAAACAATCGCGTGGTAACGCTGATAGATGCTGCAAATTAACTCATCAACTGAGATGTGTCCCACGCGTCCTGATGAGTGTACATGTCAAATGAGGCGAATGGGTTAAAATATTCTGGCACAAATAACATCTAAAGAGTGTTGAATCGAGCTAGAGATTTATACTGACCACCATTCGCCTCATATGACGAGTATACTTGTCAGCGCACATCTAGGACATATCTCAGCTGACGAATTAACTCAGGCCATCTATAGACTTTGAGATGCCATCTATCAGGAAAGTGAAAAAACATGACCAAAACAATCGGGTGGTAACGCCGATAGATGCTGCAAATTAACTCATCAACTGAGATGTGTCCCACGCCTCCTGATGAGTGTACATGTTAAATAAGGCGAATGGGTTAAAATATTCTGGCACAAATAACATCTAGAAAGTGTTAAATCGAGCCAGAGATTTATACTGGTGTTACAGCATAGAGTTAAGAAACACAGTTTTATGAAGAAGTTATCGCAACTTTGAGCATCCGTATAAAAGGACTTTGGGAGTGGTTTCTAACTCGTGCTAGTCCAAAATTTTTGTCTGTCAAAAGTTCTTGAGGAGAAAAATGTGTTGAACGTGAAAATAGTCGTAAAAAAATTTTTTCCTTAACCTTGAGTCTTTAAAATCACAGTTTAGTAAGTAATTCGCAAAGGTGTACTCAACAAATGAACAATGGTGCCTTCTAAATGTATGTTCTCCATAAATTTAAAATCATACTATGGAAATTTTCTCTAAAAGTAAGAAGCTTATCAACTAATCAGTGTTCAAAACACACGTGGGCCAAACAGCACTTTGCCATTAAGAAATTGCCCTTGGTCGCTGAGAAAGTCATTGTTAAACTCCGTTGTTAGGATTTTTCAGCGTATTCCTTACTTGAGGTATTTCGAAAGGGCAATTTTTCATTTTAGCCCCTATGAAATCTGAGATGGCTGCCAAGACTTAATGCCGAGTTTCAAATACTCCAACCAATCATTGAAAACTGATCATTTCTTAAAGGAAGTTTTGATGTCGCCCTACTTGTTTGTATCAAATCAGATGATAGTAACAAAAATTGTTTTCTTACAGCGGCAGGGCAAGAACAAGCTGCTGCAAATCAGGCGCAAGCACCTGCTCGTAAATCTATGCCCACTGCTACCCTCCAAAAACAACAAGAATTGTTGAAGCAAGCAGTAGCTGAACAACCATTTATACCGAAGGACCCTCCTCCAGAATTTGAGTTCATAGCTGATCCTCCATCAATCTCAGCTCAAGACTTGTAAGTATAGTATTGTAAAACATAGCTGAAGGGAAGTAATCTTTGCACCAAGTAATGGGTCAGTTGCGCTGGTCATAGAATCGCATTTTGATACTTAAATTCTTGTAGATTAGCTTAAAATAATAAGATCTGTTTAAACCGCATTTTTCTACGCTCAATGTTAACTGAGATATCACCCATTGAAAAGTCAGGTTATTGACGTCATCCACCGCAGTAGTGACATCCTTGGTTCCTTCCACCTTGTGTTTATCCAAGATTCACGTTGAGTAATCAGTGTGTAAATGACCGATGAAAGCAAGGTGGAGGAAACCACGGGTGTCTACCGCAGTGGATGACGTCAAAAACCCGACTTTTCAAAGGGTGATGTCTCGGTTAATATTGATCTTAGATATTTGCGGTTTGGATAGATCTTATTATTTGTAGCTAATCTGCAAGGATCGAGTATCAAAACACATTTTATGACCAATGCAACTGACCCATTTTTTATGTAGAATTCTCAAATAAAAATGGATCGAAGAAATTCGTAATTATTTATCGCATCCAGAAAATCTGAGAATGGTTCATCACAACAAGTAAGTGTTAGTAAATTTGGAAAATGACAAATTGTAAGTGGGATAAACATTCTATTTAGTATCTGACACATTTTTTCCCGATCGACATCAGCTAAAATCAATTTTCTTCTGCTCCATTCTTTGCTGAAATCAATGCTTTAACTCAATGTAGCAATTAAAGATGTTCTCTTTACACATTTTTGTGCATTTTGGTGGTAATTTTTGTGTTACATCAGCAGCATCATCAAATTAGTCATTGAATTCATTCTTGAATATTTAATCAATGTCATTTAATTTTCGAAGAAAATGCTCTGTGTTGTGAGGATTATATCAAATCAAGCCCAGTATTGTTGAAAATGACACCTCTAATCTTTAGTCATGATTTTAATTTTCAGAGACATCGTGAGGATGACAGCCCAGTTTGTTGCTCGAAACGGTCGTCAGTTCCTGACATCTCTAATGAATCGTGAGCAGAGGAACTGTCAGTTCGATTTTCTCAGACCACAACACTCCTTATTTCAGTACTTCACTAAGCTCTTAGAGCAGTATACCAAGGTATTTTCTCATTTTTTCTTGTATCAGTCGTAAATTAGACTAACTTAAATCTGAATTTTATTGCTAGAAAATTATTTTTTTTGTTATTTTTTTGTTAAATCTCAAACCTTTTTTTGTTATTTTTTTTCTGAAGAAGATATAGAATTATTATTGCATACATTTTTCACCGAGAAGTTACAGCTTGGTAATTAATACAAAAATTTGCAAAATTGTGTGAACTAAAAACCGTTTCTGCCACCGCAATAAAATAAAATGTGCAAAGAAGTTTGTAGGAAACGGACAATTGTTACATTACAAATTACGAACTTCTCTAAATTTCTAAGGATATCTTACTTGTGTACAAGGAGCTCCTGTGTTAAATCCTCATGATTGTATGTTACTTTACAGTTTCAAAATAAACGTTTATCGATTGATTATCCAGATTGAAGAACTTGAAACGATTCACCTCCTGTTAACCTCTATTTTCCACGTTCTCCACTAAATGAGATTTTTACAGCCGAAAAATCAGCATAAATTTGAGCTTAAGGCTCTACCTGTTAGAGAAAATACAAGTATTGGAGTTAATTAACAAAATCAAATTTTCAATCTGAGAGAAAAAAACCAACATTAAAACACTGAAAATGATTTAGGCACTGCTGTTATTGGGAGAGACTGATGATCAACTTTGTGAGAGAAGACAGGACCTCTTAATTTTTGTATGTGTTTACGTACACTGCTGTCTCTGATAATCCTTCTTGCATTGATTGAAGCTGATTTTGTAATTCCGGTTTTGTGAATATTGCTTTCATTCAGCTGAATTTTAGCTATCAATTTCTACTTCCTGTCTTTATTTGATTATGAGCTCTTTGAATTGTTTCATTGTACTTAACGTGATTTTATTTATTACAGATCCTTGTTCCACCAAAAGACATAGTTCCCAAGCTTGAAGAAGAATCGTATTCTATTAAGAATATTCTTGAAAAAGTAAAGTATCGTGCTGATTGGCAGCAGTATCAAGAAGCTCAAAAACGGAAAGCAGAACAGCAAATTGAGAAAGAAAGAGGTATGGATCTCTTCAAGAATTATCGTAATTTACATTTATGTGCCTGAACCATTGAAAAAAGCCTTATCCTCCGGTAGAAAATTGTCCTTAACTTTTTATAAATGTATGGAGGAGGATAATCAGAAAATTTTGGCACAAGTTTGACATCCAAAGCTCAGAAATTGAAGGAGATATGAGTCCTGAAGTTCAAATATAAAAATTCTTTGGTTGCAGAGAAACGTGGCTTAGGTTTGTGAAAAAAGTGAACGAAAATTTTCTTCTGGAAGATATAATCCCTTCTCACAGATCTGGTCTCGTACTGAACAATGTTTCACGAGTAAAATGAATTATTACCATGATTGAGTTCCATCAATACCAAAAGTAAAAGACCATGGGTGATTACTGTCTGTCTTCATACATATAGCTTTTTTTAGTTCATTATTTTCTGTATTTTTTTAAAAAATCCTTTTAGATGCTTTTGTCTCTGCTCAGCTTTTTTGTAGTTTCAACTTTTCGTCCACTTTAGCTGAGTATACTTGCAGCAGAAAAACCATTCCCACAGAGACATTATTGAAGAAACGTGCTTTTGTACTTTCGTTTGCATTTGCTGCCACAAGGATAGATGGAAATTTTATTGAAGGCATGAATGCTAAAACAGTGCGGTAAAACTTTTAGGGAACAGTCTTCTTACTGGGCGCATATTTGGTGGCTTGTATTGCTAACCCAGCAATAGGAGTGTCACTCGACAACAAGCTCTGTCCGAATCAAACCATTGTATCAACCCAACAAGTTGAAGACTTGCTTTAACTATTTTTACATATTTGCATTGGGCGAAAATTTTCTCTACATTTGTTAGTTAATCGTTAAAGTGTTAATTGCTTAAAAACGTAACAATTTTTTATAACTTTTTCTGAGAGGAGAAAATAATAATTAAAAATCCATTGAAATATGCCCCTGGCACAAGCAGTTGTTGCGTATAAAAAATATAGTATAAAGTGAGGGCAGAGTGGAAACTTTGGAATCCAATAACTGTCGAGCTTCCTTGTTTACCTCCTTGTGTGCTTACTGTCTATCTCTGTTGATATATAAGAGATGTTGTGGCGTTGGAAAGGTGTAAATTCCCAATAGATCTTTTAATTTGATTCCTTTATCTTTATCACAGTTGCTTATGCTCAAATCGACTGGCACGATTTCGTCGTGGTGGAAACAGTGGATTATCAAATCGGAGAAGTTGGCAACTTTCCGACACCAACAACTCCCAGCGAAGTCGGAGCAAGAGTTCTCATGCAGGAAAGAATTGAAGAAAATGGTGGAGAAGCAGGAGAGAATGAAGATGGAGATGATGATGAGGAAGAAGAGGAGGAGGATGAGGAAGAGAACGAAATGCAGATGGGATCTGATGACGAAATGGAAGATAGGACGCACGAGAAGCCGACGAAACAAAAGGAAAGAGCAAATAGTAGTGAGTCAGAAGGTGAAGAAGAAAGTAATGAAGCCAAGGACGCAAGGGACAATACACAGGTTTGTTGGATTTCCTACCTGTTGTTTTTATATTTTTAATGGACCAGTAGACAAGGTATGAATTTAAGCATTCTGATACACGATGAACCAAAATTTCTTACTGAAAAAAAAGAGATTTTTTCCGTAGTGCTTGGCATCCCTCTTGTTTAATGTGCAAGTCAGGGACATTTCCTGCTACTCTTCCTTTCTCTTGTTTTCTGGAGGGAAGATAACCGACGAAACATGCAGGTAAATACTTTTTAAAAGATTAGTTGGTATTTTTGGTAATTTCATCACACAATTACCTGATCTCATCCAAGAAAATGCTGAATTTGTTTTAAATAGTAGATTTATTTCTAAATTTTATTTTATTGATCTAATTTAAAGCTTGTTTTGCATTTTTGGTTTTTTCCTTTTTTCCATTTTGTTTTTTATGTCAGGAGGTATTGGTGGCTACAGTCGGAAAGTGAGTAGCTCTGATTACAACACTAAGTCTCTACTTATGTCAAGTTTTTGTGAAGGTTAACAAACCAATAGCTCCCATTGAAATTTCTGAGAATTTTCCTCACTCATTCTGAAATAAATTACACCAAATTGTCCGGAAACATTTTTCTTAGTTTTCTTTGAAGAATGTGAAGCATAAGCAGACATTTTTGGAGAGCAGTTCCGCTGTCAAAGTATATACACCTTTTTCGCATTTAGCCTTCGATATTCGATGTACATTTGCGGCTGTAAGTATAGCCTTCCTTGGCGTTCTACGACTCTCAAGTGCCACTGTTCTTTTTTACACCATAACCCTACCTGTGATAGAATGTGAATATCTCTCTTTTGTTTAATTCAGCATCTCATGAGATTTGTTTTAATCTGTGATAGGTTCAAGACATGGAAGAAGATTCGTCCAGTGAAGATGAAGACAGAGAGAAAAGTGAAGACAGGAGAAAATCAGGGCCTCCGATACCCGATGCTCTTCAACCACCGCTTCCTCCTCAACCCGACAAAGTCATTGTTAAAAAAGGCTATGATCCCAAACAAGGTATTCTGACACTTATTCTCTTTTACACTTATATACAAATGTAATCAAGACATGCGTAAAAGGCAGAAGTCTGCAAAACCAATTTTTGCGAACAGATATAAATTAGAATTTTCTTTGAGGCGGTAAAAAAGTGTAAAAGACTAACCATTTTTGTGGTAGAGATTACCTAAAATGCTGTAGGGATGTTTTTTAAAGAAATTGGACTCCCTCCATTTTTGCAAGTCTCCTTTCAGTAACTGTAATGCCACAGAAGAATACAGTTTATGTACGATGTCTTAAGATAGTGTACCAAACCCCCTTCACAGCAAATTTTTTACACAATATTTCATGATAGTAATAAAAATTCACTAATTTAATTGGAATAATATTTGTTCAAAAACGCTTGTGTCCTGTCTAACATTTTTCTTGAATCTTTCTACTTTTCACTCAGCAAGTAGGTTAAACTAAACTTATGCAATTTCACAAAGCAATGTTTAACTGAGTATAAATAAGTGTTAGCATCAGGTATGGGGACCCTCTTGTGCTATTTTTCTCCCTAGATTCAGAAGTTTTTCCTCTTAAGTTACCTACTCAATGTTTCTCTAACGTGTTACTTCCTTTCTTTTCAGCACAAAAAGCTGCGAAAACAGCTCCTGCTGATGAATATCTCATCTCTCCAATCACTGGTGAAAAGATTCCTGCAAGTCAAGTACAAAAGCATATGCGAATCGGTTTGTTGGATCGCAGCTGGATTGAACAGAGGGACAAACACATTCAAGAAAAACGCAATCAAGAGACTGTCTTTGCTCCTGGTAAGGTTTTCAATCCCACAAAAATTTACAGTGTTTTGAATATTAAAGTCACCTTAATACTTTCATGTAGTATTACAAAAAATTTCCAGGAATAGTGATTATTCCTGAATAAATGGAAAAATAGCATTATTTTAAGCAGGGAAAAAGTTAATTAATATGTGAATAACACAAAAGAGACTTTACATATTTTCAATCGGTAAATGTGTGTTTTATAATATCTATTAGTTCGGTTCTTGTCCAACGGTTTGAGATAGGTGTAAACTACTTAATTTCTACAGTGCATCAATCACACAAGCAACTACGGATAAACCTCACTTGGCCTTCAGAAAACATGGAAATTAACATAGGATAAAGAGGTATAAAATTCGTCTGAGCTGTTCGACATGTGTGTCAAACTTGAATGCATGTTCTCCGTTTTTTAAGTTGTAGATTACTTTCAACACTGCCCGCATCATTCCCTATTTTATAAACAATGTAATAACATTAACTTTGAATGTAGCGATCAAAATGACTGTAACGGGATTTACAATTTAATGCATAGTTTTCTGATTTAAAATTTATCGATTATAAATTTTCTGAAATACCTCTCCATCATACCATTCTGTACTACGAATGTTAAAATTTCTGTTCTTTTTTCTAGGCTCTGCAATTGAGGACAGTTTGAAAGAATTGGCCGAGCGTCGTACTGATATTTTCGGTGTTGGTGATGAAGAAACTGTCATTGGTAAAAAGATAGGAGAAGAAGATACCAAGAAAGATGATAAGGTGTGTGAACAGTAATTTTTTAATGAAACCGGAAAAAATCAATGCTAATTTTTGTATTCTCTCTTATAATGTCTGATTGGTATTGATCCAAAATGTTTGCCTACTGCAAGCATTTAGATAAGGGAACTGTTCAAAAATGCAATAGTGTTCCTTGATTGTTACTAGGCAAACAATAAAATTTTGTAGGTTTCAAGAGGAGCTCCTCTGGAGAATATTTTTGATGTGAAGATAAACACATTTTGTGGTGAAATTAGATGAACATGATTTTTCCATTTGCGATGTTACAAACCTTCGTTATTTTACAATTTAGAAATGTTGCAATAGTTTAATTTTATTTGCCAAATAGAATCAAGAGTTATTCGTGGTTTGATGTAATTTCTCAGCTAAATTCATGATTTTTCTTCTTTAAGTGAAAAATATGTTCTAAAAATTTCGAAAAATGCTGTTAATTCGTTGGCTTGCAAAAAATTATTAGAGTAGCCGAACTTCTGAATTTTTGCATAACCAAGGTACAACTTTTTCTATTTTCATTGGAATGAGTTGGTGACTTTGCCATGTGCGGTAAATTCAGTATAAAACTGAAATTCTCATTTCAGAGGGAAAAAGCTTGTCCGAGCACAATATTCCCCCCTAGAAAAATGCCATTCGAATATTTTTTTTTACTCAATTTATCACACATGGAAAAATCACCAACTCTATCTTATGAACTCATGCATCAAACCCCAATCTGTTTATGGTGCTTTTATTGATTCGCAAAAAATGATAAATTTTGCAAGTCTATAACTCGCATTTCACCTCAATCTAAAGCAAAAGTTTTCTTTTTATCCAGGTCACCTGGGATGGCCACACTTCCAGCGTCGAAGCAGCAACAAGAGCGGCCCGTGCTAACATCACAATTGAGGAGCAAATCCACCAAATCCACAAAGTGAAAGGTCTCCTGCCGGACGAAGAGAAAGAAAAGATCGGTCCGAAACCAGCGTTCCCTGGTGGACGTCACCAACCCCAGCACCCCCAGTCTGCCCCCATGCCACCTCCACCCGCAACCACAGCACCTGCACCTCCCCCTCCGGCACCGGCCCCAGTCAAACACAATCCTCCGCCTCCCCAGATGCCGGTCCTAGCGCCTCCTCCTCCACTTCCAACGCTCACTCCGATGCCTCCCAATATGCCTGGCATGATGATGATGCCACAGCAACTTCCGCCGCCGCCGATGATGGGTAAGGATACATTCAATTGACCACTAGACAAAGTATGTAAGCACTATGATAAATATTTTCTTATTTTTCCCAACTTTTTAGAAGCCAAATTAACTGTTTGCATGTGCATCATAAACTACTGCTACTCCACAATCGCGATTTTGAACAAATCAGTGGGGTGCGTCAACTTTTGTGCGTGCCCTGATGGACCATCCCCCTGCGCAATTTTTAGTTGCATTAGGTAGAACACTGCATTAAATCTAGACTCAAATTATCTGTCTCTGTGAATAGCAGGGAACTTCAAAAATTTAACAAGCCATATTCTTGACAGAATTTTAAATTGAGTTGCTAATTCAGTTTCTTTAAATCATTTCAGTTCCAGCTGTTCCGCGACCTCCACACTTCCAAGTTGTTACCCCGGGCCCACCAATGCCACCAGCTTTTATTCCAGCACCACCCATTGTTCAACAACAGCAGCAGGTAAATAAGTTTTTGTTTAATCTTGCAGAATAATATGGGTCATGCGGCCTTGAAAATTTTTCAAAAAGCACTTGATTTTAAAAATAATTTTCAAGGTTTCAAAGTTTTTGATTCTTACAAAATGTTAAGAGAAAAATTTGAATTTTACTCTTCACCAATAATACCAATGAATTCTTGCTGTTAAGAAATAACGCAACAGTGGATGTTAAATACATTGATTGTTTGGAAATAAATCTTATCTACAAAGGGAACTGTGATTTTACTTCACAGTGAAAATTTCCACGGGTGGGTCGGGTCAAATTTTTTGACTAGATTGGCTGGGTTGCAACCCGAGTGACAAAAACGCTCTTCTGTAGTCAAGAACTAAACTCAGATTCTTGATGAATTTTGGTCAATGGTTGAATCCACCCATTTCTTGACTCACCTCTGGAGGGGATTGAAGAATTTTGAATGTGATCATCATCGGTACCAACATGAAAACCAAATGTTATAAGTGCTTTATCGGCTGGAGGGAATTTTTTTTTGTTGTAACGGTGGTTGGTAGAAAAAGAAAAACTTAGCCAAATTCATTTGCGGGAATTTGCTGCCCAAGGCGAACCAAATAGTGCTAACTGAGGCTCACTATACAGGGAAAAAACTGCAAAAGTATGGGTTTTTTTAATCTTGAGGAAACATGAACCATAGATAATCAGATTGCTGAAAAATTGTATGCAAGATCTGTGTCTTTTGCTGCTTTTGAAAGTCAGGCATGTACAAACATAATTTTAGCAGGAGCATCAAGTAAAATCAAAGTGGGACAATTTGATTTATATTATAATTTTGGTTATGATCAAGCGTTTGTCATATCATAGCATTTTGAGAAAAGTCGAGAATACTTGTTTTTTTTCCAAATCAATCGTTTGAACTGAGTAGTTTTGAAAAATACTTCACCGAATCACCCCCTGTTTTTGGTTGTAGATCTATTGATCATTGCAATAGATTCTTGTTTCTCTGCGGCTTGTAGAAGTTGTATTTTAGGTAAGTTCAATTGAGGATTTTGTTATTACTAATTTATACTTAATGTGACTTGCTTTGTTTTATCATAGGCACCTACCAAACATGCTGCCGAGCCTAACCCTGAAGATGAACCACCCAGCAAGAAAGTTCGAACAGAAGAATCGCTTATTCCTGAACATCAATTCATGGCAAATCATCCTGTAAGTACCTTTTATAAAGTTTGTCTTTAAATACAATGATTTCGCTCCGTTATTTTTAAGTTTAAAATAGAATCTAAGTGGACTAAAATACTAGCACCTGACATTGGTGTTAGCAATCAGTGGAGCAACAACCTATGGTTTCAACTACCTCACATCCAGAGCAACATGGCAGCGGTACAATTCAAATTGCAAACAAACAATTTCTCTTAAAAAACCACAAAAATATGCTCTTTAAATAATGGTAATATTGGGAGCACGGTCAAAAAAATATCTTTTGGTTACAATTGCGCTGCAAAAGGTAATGAAAAAATGCTGGTAAGAAGATACACGGAGCTAAATTCCTCCTGTAATGGCTTGTAATTGTTACCATCATATTTTTTTGTTTTAAACAAGGTTGGATGTTCGTTGGCTTTTTCAGCTGAAATTTGTATCAAATGATGATGAATTTGAAGAAAATGAGTAACAGCTTTGTTACCTGTAGTGTGTGCCCTTCAGACAACAGTGTCAACTATGAATTATTTGTTTTATCCTAGTCAACATTTTAACTACTGATATGGGTAGTATGACTGACAAGGGGAACTTCCCAAGCTGCCGCCTCCGATCGGGCTGAAAAAATTCGTACGAACTCTTTGTATGAATTTATTTGATCCGTATTTTTTTGTTTTTTCCAATGCCCCCCAGAAACACCCCAAAAAAATTCCGGAAAGTTTTGCTTTGAGCACTTGAGTCTATATACGCAGTATAGCAGCACTCACTTTCCGTCAAGTGGTGGCTCTGCGGTAGCGCGCTCGCCCAGTGATCCGGCGGGCCCGGGTTCAACTCCCGGGTGCCGCGCCAAATTTTTACGACCGAATTTTATATTCTCACACATTTTCACATCGATTCCCATTTGATACATTAGAACTTAAAACATCAATTAATTTACAACCATCAACGATCAATAACTTCTTCAATTTGAAGTGTAGATTTTTTTTTTGGGAGGGGGGAGGGGTCACGCGCGCGATATTCTCGCCAATCACTGTACTTTCACATTAGCAGACGACCCGCTCCGCCCCCTCACATCGACATATTTCTCCCGATCACCCGTATGCGTCATGATTTTTCCCAGCATTATCCAGAAAATGATAATGAAAAATTACTTCAAACATTCAAATTAAAAATGCTACAATTTTTCATTATCATTTTCTGGATAATGTTGGATAAATCATGACTCATACGGGTGATCGGGAGAAATATGTCGATGTGAGGGGGCGGAGCGGGTCGTCTGCTAATGTGAAAGTACAGTGATTGGCGAGAATATCGCGCGCGTGACCCCTCCTCCCTCCCAAAAAAAAAATCTACACTTCAAATTGAAGAAGTTATTGATCGTTGATGGTTGTAAATTAATTGATGTTTTAAGTTCTAATGTATCAAATGGGAACCGATGTGAAAATGTGTGAGAATATAAAATTCGGTCGTAAAAATTTGGCGCGGCACCCGGGAATCGATCCCGGGCACGCCGGATCACTGGGCGAGCGCGCTACCGCAGAGCCACCACTTGACGGAAAGTGAGTGCTGCTATACTGCGTATATAGACTCAAGCGCTCAAAGCAAAACTTTCCGGAATTTTTTTGGGGTGTTTCTGGGGGGCATTGGAAAAAACAAAAAAATACGGGTCAAATAAATTCATCCAAAGAGTTCGTATGAATTTTTTCAGCCCGATCGGAGGCGGCAGCTTGGGAAGTTCCCCTTGTGAGCTAGTTATCCTTGCCATCAGACCAGCTGTTTCGATTCAATCTTCCGGTACCATCAGTCAACTTGTGTGGCAGGAGAAAATGCATTTTATTTCCCTTATATTTTCAGGGTTGCCACAATTCCACAATCAAAAAAAAATTAAGAAATGTCAGTTGGTAAAAATGATGAAAATTCCAAGGGAAAAATTGTTGGCTTACCTTTATTCGCTTTGTTGAATGTGTTTGACTGTTGACTGTTGACTGTTTATTTCTCCGTGTCAACATCATCAGCACTGTGACTGTGATGTCGGAAGCATGTATGAGAAACTATGCGATGGTGAACATGTCAATAATGGTTCTGATCAATGCCCCCTCAATACTAACTGGTTGTGATATATTATCCTCTTCTTTTTCAGTCACCGGTCAATTTCTCAGTTTCCGTTCCAACCATGAACGACAAACCAGAATGGAAACTCAACGGACAAACAATACAAATGAGTCTGCCCCTCCAAGATTCAGTTGCAGTCATCAAGGCGAAACTCCACGATGCTACTGGCATGCCACCCGGAAAGCAAAAGATTCACATGGATGTAAGTTTTGTTTATTTGTTCCTCATCCCTCAAGTCTTTCTATATATTTTCTCATGAATTCTAAGATACACTAAAAAAATACTTTGAACATTACTCTAATTAAATGTATCTCACATTGCAACAATGTAAGTCTCCGCTCAAGTTTAATTTTTTTAGAGGGAAACAACCAACATTTCAACAGTTCTGTCGGAATTTGTCGTGAATTTTCTTCTCTCATTCTCAAAAAAATCACCTAAAAATGCAAGGAAACATTCTGATTTACTCTCCTCAAAAAAAAAAAAAAAAACATAATTGAAGATTAAATGTTGCAATTGAGGTATGCATTTTGCGTATCTAGGCATCAATATGTCTGTTGATGAAGGAAGTATCTACAATTCAAGCACTTTTGGATGTATTTATGATTATAGGAACTTGGTAAAAATGAACTCAACCAAGAGGAACTGTGTGCTGCGTATTTGCATGCTTCTTATTTCTTTTTGATTTAATTCATTTTTTTATAACACCTTTTCGCAAGAAGCTATCGCTTATTGTTCATTCATAGCAGAGCACTGGCATTTTGTTGCATCAGAAAAGAGCTGAAACTGCTCAGAAGGTACCGTTTCCTCTCATAGATTTAATATATTTAAGTGCTGTTTTATGTTAGCACTTAAATATTAATAACTATATTGTCATGGGAACGGAGTTCCCCATGATATTACAATCGTTCCGTTGCTATCGCTATGGGATTCCCTTTGCCTCTGCGACCTTGAGCGTTTCGCCCAGTCTTCGATTTTTGGTTGATTTTCCGATGTATCAAAAACCGTTGTATTTTTTAGCCAATCATGTCTCTACGTCAAGTTGTGTCGATTTCTAAAATTCGCTTTCAGCGAGTTTTTTTCCACCTTGAGATGTCGTGTCTGACTGGTAAATCTGCGCAGAACCACGAAGTTCCGATTTTGGGCAAATTCTTTTTTTTGGGAGGTTCCGATTGGTTATTTTTCGCCATCAGTTTTCTGTTCGTTGGTGCAAAAGATCGCCTACCTCGTTGCTCTTGAGAAGCCGCCATTATCCCACCTCAAATTTTAAACATAGATATAAAGAAATAATAACCATCGTACAAGGTGGAAAATTGCTCTGGAGGACCCGTTACGGATATATGAGCCAAAATCAGAACTCGATTGATGGATTTAATCCATGAATACAGAAATATTGCCTCAGCTTACTGCCGCGATCGTAAATGCATGCTGAGATGAACCTTGTGACATATGGCAGCATAGGTAAACAAGGTCTCACAGAGTAATGCGCTTAATCCGATGTCTCTTATCACGCCAGTGGCCGAAAACCGCCGGAATCTCAAGGACGTCTTTTGTGAAGCCCCGCTCAGCGTCCGAGATCCCTTAACTGTTTTCTTTTCTCCCAACTGTTCCGAGCGGCGAGATGGCTCAGTCAGCTACGATGTCTATCCGACTCTGGGAAGACGTAACTTTTTGTGCGAGCGGGGGTTCGAATCTCGTAGGGGACAGCTAATTTTTACTGGTTGTATTGAATGTTTTAGACCAATCATCTAACAATAATTAATACTTGGCAACTTAGGAAGCACATAGGTCCCTTATGATGCGTATTCGGGCATATGTGTAGAGTAAAAATATCATACGTAGGGTGTCCCAAAAGTACCGGGACTGGTTCTGTAACTTCAAAAGTAAGATAGATACAGATATGATTTTGGTCTCATTTTATAGATTAACTCAATACCTATCGATTAAAACCAAAATCAGCTCAATCAAATAAAAATTGACCGAGTTATGACAATTTGAAATTAGTGAGGAAAACCCCTACGGTTTTTACGAAGATTTTTCGCTTACCAGGATTCAAAAAGTTAATATTCGTATCCACTTTCCTCCGAATCTTCCATAACTTCCTTTTGCTTTTCAAAGTACCGTCCATCAAACCGGATGCACTTTTTCATGCGCTCTTGCCACTTATCCAACATTGTTTTCCTGAATTCTTCCTCTGGGATGGAGTTGAAGAAGTTTTGAATTGCATTCTGGATTTCGGTCTTCGATACGAATCTTCGTCCGCGAAGCTCCTTTTTAAGCGTAGGAAACATCCAAAAATCACATGGAGCCAAGTCAGGGCTATAAGGGGGATGAGGGATTGTTTCAACTCCATTTTTACTCATAAATTCACGTGTTAAGCTCTATGTGTGAGGCCGCGCATTGTCTTGATGGAGTATCCACGAAGCTTTCAAGTCCGACCGTTTCCGGGAAATGTGCATTCTCAACTCCTTTAGTACTTTGCAATAATACGCACTGTCAACTGTTGTGTTTGATGGTACAAAATGTTGATAAATGACACCTCGAAAATAAAAAAACAGAATAAGCATCACTTTATCGGCCGACTTTTCGATTTACGGCGATGAAGAATCTTCCTTAAAAACCGAAAGCGTAAACTTTCCTCGCTGATTTCAAATTGCCATAACTCGGTCAATTTTTATCCGATTGAGCTGATCTTGGTTTTAATCGATAGGTATTGAGTTGATCTTTAAAATGAGATCAAGATCATGTCTGTATCTATCTTACTTTCGAAGTTACAGAACAAGTCCCGGTGCTTTTGGGACACCTTATGTATACTTTACGCCGAAAAAGCGAACCTGAAACTTAAATGCGTTAACTTCCGAAAACCATATATAATCCAACGAAAATAAATAATTGGTACATAACAGCTTTCTTGTATGCAAAGAAAATAATTAAAAATGTTAAAAAAGAGATGTCAACACAAAATTACATAGCCCCTTCAATTCAGAAGATACTACAAACGAACTGTACCTTAACATTTTCATATCCCAGAAGCTAACGTTCCCATGACGAACATTGCTATCGCTAGCGATTGCAAAATCCAACTTGTTACTTTATGTATATATTATTCTACCTCTCCTTCTCTATTGCTAATGATTAATATATATATTATTCTACCTCTCCTTCTCTATTGCTAATGCTAATGCCAATCATTTTATCTTATTTGATTTTATTTAGTTTTAATTAAATACTAAGATAATTTTATCTAAAATATAAATTTAAGTTTCTTCATTTTTATATATTTTTTATGAATGTGTGCAGCGAAGCTGGATTTTACTGAACTAATGGTAAATTTTCATTGTTTCAGGGGCTCTTCTTCAAGGATTCGAATTCATTAGCGTACTACAATGTGACTCCTGGAACAGTTCTTCAACTGCAACTGAAAGAGCGTGGTGGACGTAAACGATAATTTTATGTCCTTAGTCTTAAAACTATTACAAATCCTCTCTCATTTCATCTTTGTAAGTCTGTAATTTTAACTTTATGTGATAAAACGTATAGGGAGCATGTACACTGTAATATGACAACGTTACCTAAAAGGGTCAATCTCGGTAAAAGAAAGAATCATTTTGAGGAATTTGTTTTTATCTTGTATACATTTATAAGTGTAATTTTTGATATGGCACTGGAAAACGGAATTATCGCAGGCCAAGGTGAGGAACCATGCATCTGTATTGCTACATTTCAGAATTTCTGCTCTCGTTGTATTTTTTTCAATGTCAACTTCGTTTGCTTTCTAAATTGGGTTTGACATTTTGAACAACAAAACATAACTGTTCCAAATTATGTCTTTTTAATCATTTGGCATATCTTCTGTTGTCAGGTAATTTTACCTAAATGTGTGAGGGAATGTCATTTTCTAAATTTTGTGACAACCCTGATTTTTAAGAGAAGCAAGCCACCTTTATAGCTTAAAATTTTTTCAGAATATTCTGCTGACAGAGAAGAAAGATCAAGGACGTTTTCAAAAATTTATGTCGACTAGTTTTCCGTAGAAAAAATGAATTACGATATGAAGTATGTTATGTCGCAAACGGAAGTACATTGTTTTGCACTTTGGCCAGCCATGTGTGATATCCAGTTGTATAATATCTAGCAAAAAGTTTAAGTTGCTTTCCACTTGCACTCAAGTACTCTCACTACTTAGTACTTAAGTCACTATTGATTTCAAATTTGAATAATAAGCTTTTAAACAATCTGAAACATGTTCACAATCATTTTCTAATTTCATAAGCTAGTTGACTTTTAAACCTCTGTCTCTTCTGTCGTTCGTGTAAGTTAAAAAGATCACTTGTAAATAAAATTTTATCAGCTAGTCTTTATTTTGAGGTAATGTAAATTTTTGTAAATAATAGACAAATTTAATAAATTTTGTAATTAATATTTTCATTCTCTTGTGTGATTCATTTTTAAGTTCCTTCATAAACCTCCAAAGTCATCCAGCTGTAGCGCAAAGAGTAAATTAAGCTTTGCTTAATTGAAACAGTGGTCATGTAAAATAGCAGAAAATGCCCACTTCTTGGAGGAAAATCTCGATTTTTGGAAAATTAGGGAGAAAACTATGGTCAATTTTGGACTCAGCCCTAGACATTATATCGGAATCACCCCAGTAGTTTCCTGGGTGCAGAAATGTGTAATCAATTACTGTTCTATAGGTAATTTTAAAGTAAAGAAAATTCTGAACACCGAAGTCACATAATGTAATATCATTTATTAAGAAAGTAATAGACTTTTATTATAATACATAATATAAATGATTTTTCTGAGCAACAATTAAGGAATGATCTATCGTAGGTACACAAAATACTTGAAGTCGTCCGTTCAAAAACTTTGTAAATAAAATATACTTTTATTATGACTAAACTGGTCATTTCTGTATGCGTAGTCAAGGTACTTAAATTTTTAATAGAAAAATTAAAAACTATTAAAACAGAACAGCAAAATGTACAATGCAGGTATAAACTAAACTTAACAAAAGATATTCCTTTTTTAATACATAACATTTCATATAAATATTTACTTTTATAAATCATTTGTTTCGGTTATTTCTTCAGATTTTAGAATTATTCTTTCGTTAAAATCGGTTTATCGTTTATATTCCAGATCAAGTAAAATTTCTCTTTTACATCCCAAAAAAACAGATCAGGCAGATACTTTTCAATACGGCTTATTTGATTGCTATTTTCCAAAAATTTTAACACTATTATTGCCTCTTGATAATAAGACACACACTGCTCATTTCTCAAGTTTCTTTAAAAATGGCTGCTATATTTTAGACCTAAATCAATAAAGACAAAAAAAGGTACTTAAGGTACTAATGTTCAACTAAAAACATAATGAACATCATTATGATTAAACTTTAAAAAGCAAATAAAAAAAATCATTCTTCTGTAAAATAAAATAAAAATTATAAAGAACTTATTCGGTAAAAGGAAAAAATCTTCTGACAACGTTCTACATCCAGAAATTTAGCATAGCTCATTACCTCCTGCACAAAATAACGTGTCTCGATTATGCTGTTTTGATGTTTCTTGCTTACATTTATTTGAGTATAGGAGAACTGCACAGTGTATTTTTCCCAAATTTCCAGTGATTTTTCTCATTTGCATGAGAAATTATTCTGAAAAATTTATGCAACAGTTCTCTTCCAAAAAAATAAAATGTTAGAAGAAATACTTGAACAGCCCAGACAAGTTACGTTCTTTCATGCCAGAGACGACGAATTGTTGCACACTCACTCAATATGGTTCAACACTTAACTTTGCATTCTTGAAAATGAGTACCCTGCGAGATTTAGATAGAGGAGAACTAATGTTTTTTTACAGTAAAATAAGGATCAATGCTCATGATCTACTAACTAAAATTATACCCGCTTTGCTGCAATTGTGGGAAACTAAAAAATATAATCTTCGATGTCACTTAAAGAATGATGCTTGAAGTCTCCTCTATCTCAATCAAAATAAATCCATGAAAAAAATCGTTTTGAGATTAATCGTTCATAAAAGCTCTTTCAACCTGTCGGATGATAACCACTCGGCGGAACAGAAACCCCAAAACAATCATTTTGCAAAACTCCAAGAAAAAAAATTTAAAAAAAAATATCTCAGCAAATTATAATTATATGTGTTATGATACATAACTGAAGAAACTTAGGTAATGGCTAAGAAAAAATTTCCATTACCACCAACACTTGAGGGAGCTTCTATAATCCATAAAAAAATAGAAATAGATCAAGCAAAAAGTGCCCAAATTACCTCACATTCCAATTTGCAAGAAAAGTAGCTTGAACTGTCTTGTTTTTTACAATTATTTTTTTTTTTTTAAAAAAAAAAGGCAAAATCATCATTACAATAGACTGGCCAATGGTCATTACTTCATTTCAATAATATTTTTGTTACTTCTAAGATCTCAAATTAATTTTTGATTGATGCATGGATATCTGATACAAACAAAATCATACCTTCAACACGTACAATTGTTAATTAGAACGTTTTCTCTGAATTTAGATTCCATTGATTATTATCAAGCCTGGTTTCATAAGGCACTTTTTGGTTCCAAGGTCAGCTTGGTAATTATTGAAATTAGAATAGAAAAAAAAGGGCGAAAAAAATCATGATACTTAGTTTCTACTAGTGGGAGAAAAACCTCAGATAATGAGAAAACTGTAGACTCTAATATGACCAAAACGGCTGTAATCTGCTTCGATCAAATTGTTGCATACAAATGCACAAACAGCACCAAAAGATAAAGATCTAATTTGAAAGTCTTGAAAGATACACAACTACAAAATTTCTTCGAACAAGTCGAAATTGTTGGGGGTTTAGTATATAATGTAAAAAATTGTAAGTGTAAAGTGTAAACGCAACTGAAGTGAAAAATATCACAGATGTACCAGATAGGCTTACAGTCTGGCCTATAGAGAACGCTTCTTTTTTGCCAAAATAACAGCCACTTAAACCAAGAAACTATTCAGAAACAAACCATCCACCTCCACTCACACACAGCTGGGATTGCACAAAAATGTATTATCAAAAGACTCAAGGCTTGCAATTTCAGGCTAGTGGAAAATGTTTGATAAATTCTACTACCTCATGAAACTATGGTAATGTGCCTAGACAGGCAGTTGCGGCTCGAATAAGTGACAACGGAGGTTTCGAAGACAAATAAATATAAAGGAACATCAAATTAAAAACTGAGGGTCAGGAAGCAGGAACACGATCGGACAATTATTGGTCGCTTGAGAATATTCCGTTCTCATCTGCCCTGAGACAGCGTAATCCGGACTGCACATCTAACTCTCCTGCTAACTCTGTTCAATTCGAACGTGCATTTAAAAAAGCGAATAGATTTCTCTCGAAGTATGGGAGATGCTGTCACTTAATACCTATCAAATTACAGGACTTCCTGAAAAGAAAATACACTCCTAAACTTTAGAATATTTGCTTGAGGATTAAAAGAGCACCAATATTTTTTATTTTATTTTAAATATTCTTAACGACTTATCAAAACATCGTTTTTGGTATGATTTTCAAATGGATGAGTTGTCCAAAGCACTTCATTATTACGAGCATAAATACCCTACAAAAAATAAAAAAAACTTTTGGACTCCATTTTCCAACCTGGGATATATTTAAAAATGTGTTCTTGATAAGCTTGAAGTTTCTTTTTTTTCTTTCTTTTTTGATTTTAATAAAAATGAGGAAGTTACATACATATTTCAAGAAAAAATTGAATTAAAATTTGAATCATATATGAAAACTAAAATTACGAGATCATGATCTTGAATAGAAACCTCCTCCACTATAGAATGCTTTGCTCCTTTGTCGAACCAATTTCATAGGTAAAATGGTTGGCAACATTAATATTGCAGCTTGATAATTTTATAAATCTTAGGTATTAAGTTTCAATACCAAAGAAAATTTCAGAGGGGTAATTTTCAGTAACATCAAAACTCAAAAAATTAGTGCTCGTCTATTCCTCAACAGAACATCCAACTTTTCACGGTCACATTCACTCATTTCACGCACTCTTGATATCAGTAACATTTTCTCCGTTTTAAATCTAGATTACAATAAATTCAACAGGTAATTCTTTCTTACATAGAAAAATCTTGGCACTTTACTTTTTTTACACTAGTAGCATAACTTACACGTAAATTTACAGTTACAAAGAGGAAACTATTTACTATAAAGACATTTACACGAAATATACAATTAACGTAACAAATTCCTAATTGTTCCCTACTTTATATCAATCGATTTTAATAATTTTAATCAGAAAAGGCACTCTCAAAAAATCGACTTTCACTCTGAATTTAAAATCTGGCTTTAGAATTTCAGAAATGTAGGCTTCTCAGCGACAGTCTGAACTGTGAGATTAAAAACTAGTCCTGTTGCATCTTGAAGTTAAACTTCAAAAATTTAAGACCCTTTCCGAATTTAACGAAACAACGTCTCAGATGAATACTTCGCTACTTATTTCTTCACGAAATGTAACAAAAACTTCATCTGAGTTCAATAATTCAAAAGTTTGCAGGAAGAGCCACAGACAAAGGACACAGTTTGAAAAATTAATATCCAAGCATGAACAGTTTTTAAGGGTTTGGAAGAATTGGTGTAGGTATTGATTTTCAGCTGAAGAGAGTGAAAATACATTCACGTTATTTACGAGAACGAGTGATAATTTTAACAACAATCAGAGGCAATGAAAAGACAACATCTTTTGAACATGGAAATATTTGGAAACCGATGATACAGTTGCACTCATTGAATTTTAACTGCTGTAGAAAGAACGAAAGACTGTTATTGTGGTGGAGGCACTATTGCTACAGTTCAGCATGATACAAAAAACAATCATTAAAGCTCAGATTTTAAACGCAGCGCTTCATCTGAACAACTGTAAATTAATCACATTCTAGTCCTGGGCATTCACAAACACTGTAATCTGTACAAAAGATCGGGCAAAAACTAAAAGAAATCTTAACAACCGAATAAGCATAAGCAAGATGAGAACGGTAAATGGTAAATGCTTGAGAGAGGAGACTCTCACTATTTACATCACATAGGGCGCTACGACAAGGTCAGCTTAAAAACTCTAGGTTTAAAAATTGACTGAGACCGATTCCGCTCAAGATGAGCTTGCTTCCATTTTCATTTGACTGAATGCCGATAGATTCGGGGAGGACGGTACGTCGCTAGGGTAATCGACGTCTTTCGCTCGCATATTCAGCTGTAAATGCATAGGACTCCTCGACGACAGGTCCTGTGGCCTGTGAAAGTCGACACTTGATTTGCCGCCCGGACTACTACTACTACTATTGCTAGAATTAGAATTATTACTACTGTTGTTGCAGTTTACATTACTACTACTACTACGTGAACTTTGTCCCATGCTAAGGTCGGTCGGCTCGTCAGCGTACGCTTGGTTCGAGTCAGACGGCTCTGATTTGATACCGAAAGTTGGAACTGTCAACGGTAGAGAACCACTTGTGCTGGTACTTTGGTTTGAGCCGCTGGTTCCGTTGGTTCCATTCAGACTTGAAATTTGTTGCCGGAGTAGTGAGATGTTCTTGATGTTCTTCAGCTCACTTGGATTCCGTAAGAATCTGTAAAAAAAGAATATGAAGTCAGGATACGCAAATAATACACACAAAAATAAATCACTTGTAAAACTTCAAATATATGTATTTTGTTTGCTGTGTTTAAAAATTTACACAATTTGTTTTAAAAAAAATGCATAACTGTCTAAATTGTTTTACAAAATACAGCACTCTCTCACTCTGACAAATCAGCAACAGGCTGAACAATTTTTTGTAGAGAAACTGTTGTGATAAGTGGCTCTGTAAATAACATAGGAAGCTGGAGGGGTCGGACAATTCCTTTAATATAGGGAACTTTTTATTATAAACGGTGCCGCTATAAAGAGAGGGTGATGTTTTCTCCATGAGATAGGAAAAATAGAGGAATTTTCATGAGAGAAAAAAAATAGAAAAAAAAAAAATAGAAATCAAGAAATGGGCGACTATATTTTTGACTGATTTGTTTTAGTTCACATTCCATGCCGACAAAAGACACACTCTCTGTATGCTTTGAGATCATTTTGGAATTTACAGCTCTTCAAAACTTCCCATTTGGAGGCCGCAGCCTTCTCTGTCGCTTGATGACCCTCAGTTTTTTACCGCAAAAAAATGAAGAGAATAAGTTTCAAAAAATATGAAATTGATTTTTGAGTATTTGCATAGAAATAAATTTCGTTAAAACAAAGAATGAAATTATAAGTGCTCTACATAACAAAAAAAATACTTACTGATAACAATGCCTCTCTCCTTGTACTTTTTTAAGTATGTTCACTCGGTAATAATACCGCAAGGCTCTAGACATTTTATCATAATTCATGGACAAGTGGTTCTTCTGAATTCCCCAGAGCTTGGCCAGTCCTGGTGGATCAACGATTTTGAATACTCCTGACTCTCTGTTCCTCCACGCAATTAAACTTGTGTAACGTTGCAATGAATCGTTGAGCAACTGTTGCAGGAAGTCCCAAAGAAGGCGTCCATCTGATGAACAAATAGAAACAATAGTATTAATTTCGTGAAAAAAATATAAAAAAAAAAAGTGACCTGAAAAGAAAGCAGATCGATCAAACAGTGAGACTTAAAGTTCCTAAAATAATTGGGCGGGCATGTAAAAAAATTACTTACAAGCCTTTGTCAGTGAAAAAATATTTGAACCTAGGTACACTAAAATATAAGGAATGTAGCATGAAAAGAGGATCCAACAACACCCAATGATCTGCTCCAGGAGGATAATCTGCGATGGTTCAAAATTTGTACAGCACTAGTAGCACATAACGTAAAATTTTCAAAACAAAACATAGTAAAAACTCGTAAAAAAATCAAAGTAAAGTAAGTGAAGTATCGTAAAACTTGTAAAAGTATTAACATAGACCAAAAAAGAAATGCTTATGTATTACTTTACGTAAAAAGTACTAATTACCTCTCTTTGTCGCTTTGAGCACAAATTTTCTGCATGGAATTTTGAACTCTTGACCATTTACGACTTCTTTACAAGCTTTTTTTACATACAACGTTTCAACTTGTAAAAATACCCATTTTACGCTCTTTTTTCAGAGTCATTTTATCGGGTGTGCTACTAGGAAGCAGCAAAAGCGTCTCCATACAGCGATGAAAGGTTTAAAATTTCAGTTTATTTTTTCAGTTACCTAAACACTGCGTATTACTTTGACCATTTCATTTAGACTTTCAGAAGGTCTGAGGAAATAAATTTGATAACTTACTTGTGTTAGACTGTTCTGAGACTGGGTCTGATGCGAAGAAACTAGGTGGATAACGTGGAGAAACGGGTGGTGAACTATTGTTAGAGGATCCAGGTGGAGGTAATAGATTTATTGGTGTTGGAGAGTGAACCTCTACCTCTTCCTGTTCAGAGTCTGACTGGTTACTGCCTGAACTAACTCCGCTGTTGTAGCCTGTAAAGAAGAAAAATATTCATTTTTATTAGGAGGTAAAAGAAAAATGAGGCTAGGTTTGCAGGTAGGGATAAATGTTACAAAATAAAATTTTGAAATTTCAGGACAGGAAACTTAAGAGGAGAGCCTTTTTTTTCAGCTGGCGAAAGTGTTGCAAAATTCCTTTTGACCTTAACATTGTGCTAACATTTTCGCAACCTCTTTTTGAGTGGATGTCTTACACCTTGGCTAAACAACTATTTAGTTTATTTTACTTTCCCCGAAAATACAAACAAATTTAAGTGCAAAATCATTATGTTTGTGGAACTTTGACCTGGCAAAACCACAGTTTGCACTTGTGACTCTAATATTGAAGAAATATTTAAATGCAGTTAATATTATGCAGTCAGCACATGTGGCTATTGTATGTGCGTTTGCATTTCATGTTTTACAAATACAAACATCTTTTTTTTTTTTTGCATTGCCTGGATTTTTTAGGAGGTGTTCAGTCCATTTCAGGGTGTCTACCAAAACAGGCGGGCCAAAAATCAGCAATTTTACAGTACCATTTCAGTACATTCCCGAAAAATGCAGTACCTCCTTAATAGAAAAAATTCAGTACTTTTTCAGTTCCTCCATTTGACAAAATTCGAAAAATTTCAAACATTTGAATTTCTCGCTCAAATTGAGACAAAAATGACAGAAAAATGAAAAAAAATTCCGGACCTTTTGCGTGATTCCCCCAATTTTTCAGTACTTCCGCCCCCCCCCCTCAAAAAACCGGCACTATTTCCAGACTTTCCGAACTTGTAGACACCCTGTTAGCAGACTAAAAAGATTCTCTCACCTGTCAGGACAGGGTAGGCAGATCCGTTGGACTGCTCCGTGTTTTTCGGACTTCCAGACTGGCTGTCCACCGACGGTGCTGGACTCAGCGTGACCGAGTTGTGGAGGGACGTGGGCACGGTTGACGTTGGCAGGGCCGGGAAATCATGGGACGGTGGGATGCCCCAGGCGGGGTTGAGAGGAAAGTGCGGCGTGACTGGACTATTCGGGAGACAGTGCCTCGTCGCGAGATGAGATGGTGACTGGAGTACTGCTGCCGAGCAGGCCTCGCGGATCAGTAACTGGATTATGTTGTACAGCACATCTCCTCCTTCGCGACTCCTTTCGTTCAGGTCTGCCTTCGTTAATAAACACAGTGCTTTGCCTGAAAAACAAGGGATGAACATTTTTTTAAAAAAAATTTGAAAAAGTGCAAACAAAAAATCTTGACATGTTAAGATTTTAAGGGTGGTTTCACGATAACTGGAATAGTTTTGTCACCGTAACGGACAACACATTTCTCGGTCACATTTTAAGTAGAATAGAATTTTAAGTAGAATAGAACGAATGAGAAGCGGGCGGCAAGTAGGTGAATCCGGCCATGCCTACACCCCCCCTCCCCCCGCCTATGATCAGTTAAGGGTTGTTTCACAATAACTGGAATAGTTTTGTCGCCGTAACAGACAACACATTTCTCGGTCACATTTTTAGTAGAAATGATGATCACTCGAATTTTTTCGTATTAATCTTCAAAGGGTTGCGTACATTATATCGCTTTCTAATGATTTATTGCTCTACTTCTCAATTAATATTAAGTAAATTCCAAAAATGTGCTGTCAGTTACGCGGTAAAAAGTCAGCGTAACAGACAGCACATTTTCGGCCATTTATATATTAAAATTGAAAAGTAGAGCGATAAATCTTTGAAAAACGTTATAACACGTTACCCTGTGTAGATTAATGCAAAAAAATTCGAGTGATTATCATTACTACTAAAAAAGTGACCGAAAAATGTGTTGTCTGTTACGGCGACAAAACTATTCCAGTTATCGTGAAACAACCCTTAACTGATCATAGGCGGGGAGAGGGGGGNGGGGGGGGGGGGGGGGGGGTGTGTAGGCATGGCCGGATTCACCTACTTGCCGCTCACTTCTCATTCGTTTTGAAACTCGATAAAAACCGTCAAATGAACATGTCAGCGGGGGAGGGGTGCATAAGACGCATTTACTCGTGTTGAACAAATTTTTTGGGAAAGCCCTGTCAACGCTACTGGCAAAAGTTCACGGAACTTTGCGCGAAAGTTAAGTTCCGTAAACCTATCTCTGTGTGGACAAGGCCTTCCATTCATAAGAAATGAACGAAAAAATTACGTAAGAACAAACATAAATGTGGATCAATGATTTTAACTTCCGCCGCCGCGCCGCGCAGACCGCACCGCGTTTGGCGCAATGCGTGGAGTATTCATGCATTCTTGTAGGCGCTATCCGTTTCACGCTGACTACAGTGACCGCACTGTGTTTGATGCAATGCGTGAAGTATTTGTGCAGTCTTGTAGGCGCTAATATGTGTTACATGCCGACCTCCGCGCCGAGGGCTTCTCCTTTTCATCTCAAGTCCTCGTCATCATTTCTCTCTAAGCCGCGCCGTTCCATGCCAAATTGTGTGCTTGGTCTCTCTCTTAACTCGACTTATTGAAGGTGCTGTCTCTTGGCAAAATTAGAAATGACTATACTTTCAAATCATTTGATTTAAGCTTAAATCTGATTGAATCAAGAGTATTTTCTCTTGTCAATGTTTTCAAGAGTCTGGACTCTAGATCCAATGTGTTTTTTTTCCAGTGAGGCATTGATAGAACGGCCGAAGCGTTGGACTTACCGTTCATTTGAAATAATTCTAGGTCAAATCGAGGTAAATCGAATTCAGTTTCGCTCCATCGTAGGAACGTCGTGACATCTTCCCTACTCCAGACGCGAGGGTCAGTAGCTGAAACAAGAAAAAAAATTATTTTTAGTTGATTCGTCCTCACGTTACTTTTTGATGATGCACTTAAAAAATATCAAAATCTCCCGGGTCACTGGAAAAAAAACACATTGGATCTTGAGTGCAGACTCTTGAAAACATTGACAAGAAAAAATACCCTTGATTCAATCAGATTTTTTTTTAAATCAAAAGGAAATCCGCTCAAATTAAGAGGCTTGGTTCTTGATTTAAGCAAAAATCCAATTGAATCAAGAGTATTTTTTCTTGTCGATGTTTTTAAGAGTCTGGACTCTAGATCCAATGTGTTTTTTTTCCAGTGGTGGCAACGACCGTTGAAAATCGCTTTTTATAAACTCTACCGAAAAATTTTGAAAAAGCACCCAAAAATGATTTTTTTAAGCGTAAATTTCTATGGTTTCTTAAAAAGTTGTCTTTGTAATTCATGAATTTTTCGAAGGTTATTTCAACAGTCGTTACTACAGGGAACACAATACGAGAAAAAAATATTGGTAAGTAATTTTAAAAAAATGCACGATGCGACAAAAATAAAAACCAGAGCTCGCACACATCCGTAGACATGTGAAAAAATTCGATTCATAAAAGTACCAAAATCGGCGAGACACCATAAAGCAACTAATTTATAGTTCGGCACGTTTACGTTCATAAAATGGATTTCCTGTACCTTTGAACTACAATGCCGCGCTAAGGAAGAACGCCGTATGAACATTCGAGAGTTGCCAAATTTCTTTCGCTAAAATGTTTATTCTTGAGGGAAATCATGAACATATTTCCTTGAAATTTTCAGGAAATTTAGGTGAGATTGCGATCAAGATTATCTGAAAAGTTGGAGGAAAAATATTCATAAGTTTACCAGAAAATTCGTGTTTTATAAATGCACACTTGGCAACGCCTGAAGGTTCATACGACGTTCTTCCTTAGCACGGCAGTATAAAGTACAGCAATTAAGAGAATAATTAAAGTAAATCGAACGGACTGAGTTACAATAACAGTTGCGCGGAAAGCATTTGCTCGATGTCCTTAATAAACCGGCTGTTTAAGATTCTGGATCTCCCACCTGATCAGAAGTATACGTGAAAAAAGAAAACTCGCTTGACGCAATAAAAATACTTGTGTTATGCATCAAAACACTTACACCGGTATGCAAATAGGGAAACAATTATTTATACACACGTGTTGCGTGATGATTAATGTCCACCTAAAGAGAAACACTCACGCACGTTTATGGACTAAAAAAGGCAGGAAAAGATAATAGTGAAGTTTTTGAATGACTAAGGGCTATGAATGGTGACTATCAGCGGCCCGATTATTGAAATTGATAGACAAAACGATAGACAAAGAAGACATAGGAAGTATGGAGCTATCCTATTGGTTGAAAAGGTTGGTTCTTATAGACTAAGGGAGAACATTTTTTTCAATTCTTTTGACCGTCAACGAGAGAAGGGAACCTGGTCCACAAAAACTAACGTATCTATTTTTGCGACGTTGCAGACTTCCAGTCATACTTTTTTCTTCGTTAAAAAATAGTAATCAACGTAATTTCTTGAAAGTTACCCTAATTTTTCTTTCCTGTTAGCAGAATATTATGTAGAGATTTCCAACTACGGAAATGAATTATTTTTGTTGGAAAGAAAGGGAAATTTTAAAACACTGCGATAGAGATACGTGGTTCTCACTTTGGTCATTGACATACGTAGTTTTTATACGGATGAGCTGGACTGACAATGAGTCGTTCCTAATCACTGGGTTGCCATAATTTCTTCATCTTCATATATTCCCTGACTTTTCCTTATGACTATTTTTGCTTTTCCCTGACTCTAAAATTCTCGGAATCCTTGACTTTCTCTGACAATCGATTAACACTTCAAACCGGGGGCCACTCTATTATCGCAATATATGGCCCAAATTTTCAAATTTTTTATGTGGTTTCGCACTTTGGTCATCAAAATAAGTGTTTTTATGAGGATGAGCTAGACTTCGTAGTTCCTAGTCACTGGGTTGCCGTAATTTCTTCATCTTCAAATTCTCTGACTTTCCCCTGACTCTAAAATTTTCGGATTCCCTGACAATCGAAAAAATCTTCCACTCGATTTTTTCCCTTTAAATTACACTCACTTCTGCTAACCGCTAATACATTAAATTCCTTGACTTTTCCGTGAATACTTTTGCTTTTCCCTGACTCTAAGATTTTCGGACTCCTGGACTTTCCCTGACTCGAATTAAACTTCAACTTTGATTTTCTCTCTTTAAATTACGCTCACTTCTGCTAAACGTTAACACATTCAATTCCCTGACTTTCCCAGTTTTCCAGACCGCAGGCAACGCTGCAATACTGCTGTGCTACGAAAGAACGCCGTATGAACATTCGAGAGTTGCCAAATTTCCTTCGATAAAATAATTATTTATGAGGAAAATTGTGAATATTTTTCCTTGAAATTTTCAGGAACTTTAGATCAAAATACAAACAATATTCTCTGAAAAATTGGAAGAAAAATATTCATAAGTTTACCAGAAAATTTGTGTTTTACCGAAGAAAATTTGGCAACGCCTGAAGCCTCATACGGCGTTTTTCCTTAGCACGGCAGAATAGCAATCTGTGGTCCAAATCTCTTGTCTTAAAAATTTGCCGCCAGACTCGGAACTTCGTCCCGCGGACGGTCACACCAAACGAACCACAAAAACACCTGTCACCACCGACACAAAACCAAGGAGAAAAAAAATCGTACGAACCGAGAAACGCACCATTTCTGAAAAAGACGGGCGCGGCGTGATGCAGCCCGTGCACACCGAACGGATGAACACTGAACACCATCGCGGGGTAGAATTGAACACCGACCGGGCTCCCGACACTCACCTTCGCATCGCTACGTGCGCGCGCGCCGACTGACCGAACGGTACTTCGGCATCCCGCCTACGCGGAAAAAAAAAAATCGCGAAGAACGCAACTTCGCCTCAAGGTCGCTGGGTAGGTAACCGACTCATTCAGCGCCGGCCGACTTACGTAAAAACCTCTTCCTGCTCCGCGGCGGCCCGCGAGCGTTACACCGTTTTTGCACGGAACCGACCCCTCCCGTATCGCTTTTGTTCGGAGCTTTTCGATAGCCCCCCCCCCCCC